CGGGCGAAGCCGAGGAGGCAGGTGGGTCGAATCAATATTTCGAGACGCAGGATGCACTCGAGCGGAGCGTTGTGCGATTAAAATCGATCGAATTGATTCGTCCTGATATCGAGAGTGTCCGAGTGGCTCTCGTGACTGGCTAAATGGGTCGAGAGCTTGGCACACGGAATCGCGAATTGCTGTTGCCAAATTCTGCGAATGCTTCGCGCCACCGTCGATGCACGCGTGTATCGCGACCGAACCTGTGTTAATGGTCGATTCTCACAGAGCGTGCGATGCGATGCGCTGCGTTTCCGTATTTTTCGAGTTTTCGACTGGGTCTGCCAGTGCTGTAGGCTATACCCTACAGCATATACTAAAAGCATGTAAAAGTCGGACACTTCAGAGGGCCCCAGTGTTAGCTAGCCTAGAATCGGTAGCTCGAGGACCAAAACTAGGGGTCACACACCCGCTGTCCACTTACACATAGACGAAAAGGTCGATGCGATTCACTTACACATAGACGAAAAGAAACGCATGCGATTTTTCCGAGAGTATTCTCGCCAAGAAATCCCGAGGATTTCATCGCAGAGGCCATAAAATCGACCTTTTCGTCTATGTGTAAGTGAACAGCGGGGGGTCTGACCCGTACTTTGGGTCCTCGAGTTACGGATTCTCGGCTAACTATTACGGGGGCCCTCCAAAGTCTCCGACGTTTACATGCTTTTAGTATATGCTGTAGGGTATAGTCTACGGCACTGGTAAACCCGGCCGTAGGCTCGAAAAATACGGAAACGCAGCGCATCGCATCGCATCGCACGCTCTGTGAGGATCGACCATAAAGCTGCGGATCCACTCGTATCACATCCTCGTTTCGTATCGCCGTTGCGTATCATAATACACACACGTTCGTATATCTTATGACGCATTATAAAAACAAATTGAGTCAATAATAAATTTAAAATAAATTTTATTGATTCCAATAAAAACCAGATGAAAACGCAATTTGCTAAAATACATTAATTCATTAAGCTCCGACGAATAAAAAATTCATGTATAATACATTTTCTAATGAAACGAATGAAAATGAAACGAATAATAAAATTATTTTATATGACTATTCATTGTTTCATAACGACTATACAATTTATTTAATAATTTCGTGTAATCTTTCAAATTAAATACTCTGATGGTTAATCGACCATTGACCAGCTTCCAAATGTAAATCGCTTCTGAATCAAAGCATCGAAAGACCCAACTGACTGATTCAAGTAGGCAGAAAACGAGAGAATAGAAAGAAGTTTCTCAAGGGGCAGGAAAAATTGATAACCGGAAATCGCCTATTGGTCCCGGTTTGCCCCGGAGAGAAGGAGAGATGGACCTTGTTTTCCAAGGCATTAATTCGCCGGACAGCGGGGCGAAACATCGGAAATGGCGAAACGCGGTCGTGCCGAGGATGTCGATTCAATTTTCATGACGTTTCCGGTTGAAAACCAAACTTTCCGTGGGAGGCGGAGGTGCGCCAAGGCTGGAAGTAGGCGAGACGAAACTCGAACAACGACGCGGCTTGTAACTACCAAGAATCGCACTATCGTTATGGAAAGTAGAATAAGGTCGGGCTATAAAAATCATCCACGACGGAGACAGACTTTTAGATTATTAAATTTTATGCGACATGCAATATTTAGAATGCAGGATTGGAGATTAAAAGCTTAGCCTTTTCGCCTTTCAAATATTATAGCATTTAAAATTGATCCCAATTCCGACTGTTATAAATGCATAAAAATAATTATAATCTCACAAAGAACCACGTCAGGACGAAACAGGCCTGTTAGCTCATCTCCTAATGACAGAAACACGATCATCAATTGAATTAACAGAACTAGAATCATGCAGTCGTCATCTCGTTACAAATAAATTGAAATTCGACGGTGAAAATGGTTTGCGTGGGAAAGCATCCGTTATCTATCGCTCGTTGATTACCGATGGAACGATTCGTTTCTTTCGCGTTCATAGAAGAGCCAAACTCTACGGTTAAAGGTGTAATCACCTTTCCGCCCCCGCCGATAATCGAACACTCGGTAACGAGTTTCGAAACCTATACAACTTTCCGACGGACGAAATGTTTGGTAATCAAGCGAATGACGTAATCCGGGAGCCTCTTCCGGGATCGAGCTCGTTGCGATAATTTAAGTAAACGAGTACTCTAATTGGGAACGCGCGAGTCTGACCACTACTGTGCTCATTCTACTGCCGCTCAAATCTACGTTTCTCGCGTTCACTGGCGAACACTTAATATCTATAATACTTAACACTAGAAAGACTGAAACTTAGTATAT